CAAATATAGAATCGGTCTAACTAATTTTGTGTTCTTACTTTCGTATAGTGATGCTGAAATAAGTATACGAACCTAGGCGTAAGGACATCATCCATATATACACATAGATATATCAGACGGAAATACTTATTTCTAGATTACTTTTGTCCCGCCATTTCGCAACGCCACTTGTCGTCTATTTACTACAGTCATCGCTGATCGTCAACTATGCACGGGTTTTCCTCCAGAACCGTCGGCAACTCTCGGTTCCAGCAACACAAACTCAGAGGACACATCTGGTGTGCGACATCCACTCGCCCGCAGAATCCTCCGGATGGGAGTATCTCGTTCACTTTCAGATTTCTAATACACAGTCTTGGACGACCGCAAACCAAGCGTCTTCTCCAATGTACAATCGGCGGCTTCCGGTGATAATCCTTGCATCTGGAACGCTCGGTCTTGTTACGTTCCCCTGCCTCTGGTTCTAGCTCGTTCCTCACAACTGTCAGGCTAGCGCCCCTTCTCTTCTATTAGTAATTTTATTGGCTCGAACGCATACGAGCAATCGCCTGTCTAAACACGTGTACTCGCTCTTCCCGGATAATACACTGAACCGAATATCATCCCAACAATACTGCAAGCTTAACACTCATCACCAGTGGCTTCTAAAGTTCCGCTTACTAGATCAATGTCTACTTGTGTGGACACATAATAGACTAGAATCTTCCTGTTTGACTAGCGCAGACGCTCACTGTGCTTGTTCTGCTCATCTCACTCATATAGAATCTCTCTACATCACTCACTTTCAATTCCATTTACAAGTGCTTCCTCACAACAATACAATTCTCACAGTCTCTGCATACACTCTACTACCTGCATCTCTAACTTCTACATTTATCACTTTCTTACACCTTAAGTACTAGATCTTCTCTAACATTTCTTCAATCCTCGCCAGACCTCTCTATCTTGCGTGATGAATACTTAAGTCTCACCACAACATTAATCATCCCTACATCCGTTTCCTTACATTAATGCTCATACTTCTAATATTGATTTCTCATATTCTACACCTAGCCTGTTATCCAAACGTTTCTCGCTCACAACTGTCCCACTATTATACGCTCATCTACGTTCGCACTGCTACCTAAATGACTGCCGAACGTGGCGAGGCTAGGATATAACAGCCGCAGCATACATCCTCACACACTCCGCAACGTGAGTCAGAGCGGACAACAACGAATGGAGCCACAGGAACAAACCGAGCATCCCCAATATCCAAGTCGATCCTCCATCATCGTCAACTCCAATCCTCAAAGACTTCGTCTAGAATATAACAATCCACTTATTTGATTCCGCCTCTATCATATACGATCTCCTTCTCGAACTCTCCACTACTCCCGTATCCACCCCTTCGAACAATCTACACATTCCTGAGGATTATCCACAACAGAGCTAAAGACTCATAGAGAATTCGTGCTGAACTCACAGAATCGAACTTTATACAGAACTGAGCGGCAGGCACATTCACTATACTTACAACCAATCTAAGTGAAGAGCGAAGAGGCAAGCGCAAGGTTACAGAACTCCTATCGAAGAGCAAGACAAACACGTTCACGACATCATAATCGCCTATTCATTTACAGACTGAACAACAAGAAAATATCTCCAAATCGGTGTGACAACAATGTGGTCATCTCTGATATCCGTACACATATTGCCAAATCCATTATGGAAAGATACTTATAAATTTAAACAATCGGTTCGGAGCGCGCCCTCATGCGATCATCTTTCGGAAGCAGATACAAAATATCATCTCAACTAATGAAACTACTCAGTAGCTACCGCACTATGGCCTATCCACACCTCTCAGACACAAATTTTCGGGTACGCACTCATTCCTATACACACATTTCATTTATCTCCACTCATACATTCATTCGAAAACACAAAAACCAACACACGTGTCAAAGACAATTTAGCCAACACAACTCACACTCATATCGGATATTCTATGACCTTTATCTTTTATTTCTTCTGGTGTATAGATAGTGCTCACGATTTCTATTCAATATTGTCAAAAAGTTTTTAACATCGCATTTGCTAACATCTCGCAATAAGATGTGCGCAAGGATATATACCGGCTAGAATTACTCGATACTATATATATTCTCTCCTCATGCTAAGGTGTGATTATAATAAGCGAGAATAAATATACCAAGGATGTTAGAGGACTATTTCTGATAATATTCTAAGCTTCTGACGTATACAGTCAAGTGAACACACGTTTCCTGTGTCTTCATGTTTGGTTGTGCTATACCCCCTTCCCGTGGAGTGCCATCTTCCATTGGCACACTGCATTCTTAGCGACCGATCGGGCCCCTTACCCTCGTACCTGGATTAATATTACAATGATATCGGGAAAAATCTCTCCATATAACTAATAGAACATACTCTGTCCAATTTCAGTGTCTTTGACGATAATAAACCATACTGCAAAATAGGCGTATCTATACGCATACTAAATCTTCCTTCAACTTTTAAGGTACATCCTGGCAGACCATTGATAGTCACATTACTAAGCTCTCGAACAAAAACAAACAATTTTTTTCAATTTTCAATTCTGATGTAATACGCTTCTGCCTCATCTAGACCACACACTGTACGATCATCCACTCTCGAAGACGCTTAATCAATCAAATATCTGTAATTTGTCATATTGATAACCCCACAACTCACTCCTGGTCGCACGCCACCATCACTGCAACTCTTTTACTCCAGGCTATAAGAGAATTCGGTCTCGCCTGCCACCATGAATCCTTCTCTCAACACGATGGATCATCGCAACTTAGGCCTGCACACGTGTATATCTGCTAGACGCTAATATAACAATCGACGGCCGACTCGTTCGCCACAACAAATCTTCCACCTCGTAATAGTGATACTAAACTTCTTTGTCCGCAATGTACGAAAAATGCACTGTTACTATTACCTTTCCATTGGACAATCTCCTATTCCTCCCCAGACTGTTGAATGTAACAAATAGTAACTCTAGCGACTAATTTTGGTCAATAGTACCTATATAATTACCATAAAGAGACCCTCCTTCACCAGAAAACACCGCTTCTTGTCAAGCAGCACATCTCTCAACTTTGTTTCGAATTCACATATATGATGAGCTTAATCCGCGAACATCATTTACTTTCCGATATTTAACAGACCAACTCTATCTTGTGCGGCATCTTTTCGAACTTAACTACATAATGATTGAACGACAGATCAAGTTTGATAGCGGTTATCCCACCCACTGCACAACGCATTAAAGATGAAATTTTGTGCAAAAAAATTTTAGACCTATTTTAAAAAATTTTTTAATGATGCCTACCTATAAATTAGTGATTCCCACATCTCATTTATTTACCTATGTAGTATTAACTATTATTAGTGCACTCCAAGAACTCTTGAAAATGATTTATATTAAAAAGATTGTGTTTTTTCAATTGAAAAAAAAATGGTTATCTTATTTTTTTTAAACACACACTATACCACCCCTTTACTCATGTGCTATTGTATTTCATCCTAGATTGTAAATTTTTGACAGTCTTTTGTGAATATTTGACCTATTATTTATTTGACTATTTATTATGAATTATTAAATCTTGATATAGAAGATAGTGTTAATGTAAATGTAGTATTACATGAAGTTAGACAAAATATTATAGAAATATAGTGAATTTGTTCAATTTTCTAGTTCATCTACTTCTAATTCTTCTCAATTCAATATTCAACTCAAAGGGTAGTAGTGTTGGTGTTGCTGAACGTATTTTATTATAAAAACAAAAAAGACCAAGGGAATCCGGTTCTTTTTCTAAATTTAATAATTATCTAACCACTGCTTTTGAGTTTGGTGATGATTACACAAATAATAATTTTCCAATTTTAGATTGGTGGAGTCGTCACGCCAATACATTTCCAATGCTTTCTTTAATTGCAAAACAAGTTTTCGCAGCTCTGGTCTCCACTATTGCGGTTGAACAAGATTTTAGTCAAGGAGGAAACATACTTGATGAAACACGATCTCGTATGACACCCGATTCACTAGAAGCACAATCATGCATAGATGATTGGAGCAAGATCGAACTAATAACACAAGAAAATCTAAAAGAAAATGAAGATTTATATGATCTTTATTAACTAAAAGGAAAATGAAGATTTATATGATCTTATGATGGGTCCTCAACCAGGAAACATGAACCAGGTGGTGGAAAGAATGAATAATGGGTAAAATGCCGATGAAATTGGTACAAGGCTAAGTTAAGAAAATTACGTTGGCTTTAAATTTCTCTATTCACTAGAAGCACAATCATGCATAGATGATTGGAGCAAGATCGAACTAATAACACAAGAAAATCTAAAAGAAAATGAAGATTTATATGATCTTTATGATGGGTCCTCAACGGGAACATGAACCGGTGGTGGAAATAATGAATAAGGTAAAATGGATGAAATTGGTACAAGCTAAGTAAGAATTACGTGGGCTTTAATTTCTCTAAACCCCAAGAGGATACGTAGGCAACTTAATTTTTTTTTTAAATTATGTTGCAACTTTTTTAAACAAAAAATAAATTTAGTTGAAGATTTTTTTTTAAAAAATAATTAAGTTCAAGTCTTTTAAAAAAAATAAATTTAATTGAAGCATTTTTTAATTTTTTAATTCTTCTTTTTTTTAGAAATAATTTTCATAAATTTTTAATTTTTGAAAACCGGTCTTTAAAATTTAAAATTTAAAATAATGCGATTTACCGAAAAACTGATCGGAGAACCGAACGGAACCGTTGGTTTTAGAACCGTTGGTTTTAGAACCGTTAAGGAATCGAAATTGAAACCGAAACCGTTCGGTTCCAAACTAGAACTGAAATCGAAAATTTTCGGTTCAATTTCGATTCTAAATCTTTTGGAACCGAAACCGACGGTTTCAAAACTGTATCTTACCTAATTCCATCTTATCCCACGCACTTGGATTTCCGAGCCATTCCGGTTATCAATAAATTGGATATTTCTGGCTTCGGTGTCCGTAAAATCAGTCCACTTTTATATCGTCTCCTCGTAAGACAGAGATACGCTTGTAACGTGTTCAACTGTTGGCCACCACAAGCTGTCTAAGATACTCAACTGTAACTCCAGCTTATCCGCTTCAATCCCCATAATCGGCGTCCCCAATGGCAGTTCTGAACTACATTTCAGTCACCTCAACGGCAGCACCCATCTCCCCAGACTCCTCAACCCCACCAATTCCAAACCCAAGACAGACCAAAGTGATACTGCCTAAGAAGAAGCCACTGAAATGGTCCACTGGAGTGGCACCAGGTGAGTATGGAGGTCCGCCCACTACCACAAAACTCCGCAAGTATTGGGGAGGTGAAGATGAAGACCCTTTAACCTCTGATGAGTTTATTTGGAACAAAGACTTCATGAGTCGCATGGCCAAATTAATTCAGGACCCCGATGAATCGTCTCATGAACCTACTCCTGTTAAGGTTCTCTTCTGTTGCTCTCTTTTTGTTTTTACTTTTATTTTTTTCATATGGGACTCTCTTACATTGTGTTTTCAAGGTAAACTTTTGCAGTTTGATTTCAAGTGAGATGTTAGTTTGGACAATCACATATGGTATTGTTAATAATTTATGTATCTAACGTGTATTTTTGGCCCTGGAATTCAATATTCTAGTTTTTGCAAACTAGTATGTGTTTATGTTTTGTTTTTATTATTTTTTTGTTTTTCAACTTTCAGTATGTATCTGATCTGATAGGTGGCAAAAACATCCCTCTGAGTTTGAGTAACTGAAATTAATTGGGTGTCTTTGGCTGTTTGATTTTGAATAATATTGGGCTAATATAGTTTCCTCATATATGGGTGGTGTTGAATTCTTGAATAAGGAAGGGCATGGAATTGGTCCTCTTATATTATTCACTATTTTTCTTCATTTACAATAAAAAAATCCTTCAAGTTAATATTCCATTACAATCAGATATTGTAATTTATTTTTGTATCTTGCTTTTCGGAGAGCTTAAGCAATACTTCATCTTCCAACTACTATGGTTCTTGTTTGACTTAAACCGTTATGGTGAAAATGTGGATTAGATCTTCATTGCATTATATATCATATGGTTTTCTTAATTTATTCTGATTGTGATATTTAATGTCTTTCACGTGAACAGGAAGAATCTTCTGGATTTCTGAGTTTAAACAGAGTTATGAGTCTGGATAAGTATGTTATATATATGTTATCATGTGCACATAATGCAAAGTTAAATTTGCTTCCATAGGGAATACGCTTTTCGTTTACTTTTCTGACTTTTTCCCTAATATTGTCTGCATAATTACAGCTTGGAAGTTGATTTGAGTAAAGAGCTTACACAAACTCAAAAGCCGATATCAGAATGTGTTGCTGAGGCTGGAAACAAAGTATGATGAATGCTTTTGAATTCTTGGGTTGAATTCTAGATGCTTAGGAAGTTTTGCGATTCGATTTTCTCATTTTATTGGGACTAATGGTTCACAGGACAGCATTGGCATTTATAAAAAATGGCGGTTGGTACCAACACGCCGTGAGCAGGAGAAGTGGGATAAAGCAACTAAGGCTGCAACTGGGGGCAGTGTAAGTTCCTTAACCTTACATATTAATCTCAATGAACTTGCATAGATGCACTTGTTACTTTATAATCCTTGGTCATGTTAGTTTTATGAACCTGGTTTCTTTTTGAATTTTCGACACTCTTTGATATTAAACCTGACTTTGATTTTACTCTTGGGAATTGTCCTAAATGCATTTATCAAATTCATATCATTCATAGTATGCTTTTCAGTTTTGGTGTTTGACTTATGTATGGCTTATAGGATGTGATGTTGAGGGAAGTAAGAAGGCCTCAAGGAGATCCGGAAATATTGGCTGCTCAATCAAGGGAGCAATATTTTAAGGTACTCTCTGCAGATTCTTTGCCCCACAAATCTGTGTTTTAAATTGTGTTATTATTATCTTTTAGAATCCAGTCATTGCAGTTATTTCTTTCTGCTTGAAACATGGGTCTTTTTCCTTTGTTGGGCAGTTGAAAACAAAAATGCAGATTCTCACATTGGGTATTGGTGGCGTCGGGCTGGTCTCAGCTTATGTTTCTTATTCTCCGGAAATTGCAGCTAGGTAAACTATATGTTTGAAAAGTGTGAACTCTAAGTATAACATACCTCGACCATCCAAACTATAAAATTTGATCTTCCAAGTCGAAAACACACCTGGATGCTTATGACACGTCAAGTTTATGTCTTTCCCCACTTGATCTCTCTCTCTCTCTCTCTCTCTCTCTCTCATTACTTCTTATTCATTATTTACGTCTTCCCTTTTAGCTTGATCCTAAAAAGAATCGAGAGCAAAGGGGAAAATGGTTCGCTTTGCTGATTTTGACTAGCTTTATCATAAATGGATGGATCCAAGGATGGAACTGAGTGTATAAGAGTCCACCTCTTATGAAGATTATGGTCCAGAGAATAACATAAAACTAAATGATTAATTTAAATCCTACTTTCAGGAGCGTGCAAGCTAGCTTCATTACATCTTTGGAAATCTTAATGGAGTGCTATAGAATGTCATGGAATGAATTTTTGGTTCATTGTTTTATTAAATTGTTATTTTGAGAAAGGGTCCATGATAAATGGAAGAAAGTTGCTTCCAGTAATGCCATTAAATTTTTTTGGATTAAAACCTAATGATGGCATTTCTTTCAATTCAAACTTCCACTGAGTTTTGTGTCATTAGTGACATTCTTGAACAAGTAAACAGTATACAGTTGAACAGTATTTCCTATAACCTTTCTGTAAATCATATTTTTTTAATCTTTGGACAAAGTTCTTGTTTTTATATGCTATGGCAAGACCTAATATTTTGCCAAGATGATTGGAAGCTTTAACAGCAATTAAAGATTCAAGCCAATAAATGATCTTCTTGTACTTCAACTTTTGCTCGATTTAAACTGAGTCGACAAGCTCGTTGAAGTCTTTTAGGCTAGTGAGACTAAAAGGGATGCATCAAGTTGAAAAGGAATCTACAGCAGTAAATAATTCATATCTTGTTCAATTAGCCATCCCTAGCAGTAACCTAAACTCTCTGCTGCCAATTGAAATATAGGATTATTGCTCACTAAAATTCATAGCCAGCTCTGATATCACAACTGATGCAACTAACAAAAAAAAAAAAAAAAAAAAAAAAAAAAAAATAAAAAGTGCGATGCACTCAAGTTGCAAAAGGCAGATCCTAACAGCAGTGAAATAATTTCATTATCTTGTCCAAATTACCATCCCTAGGCAGTAACGTAAACCTCTCTGCTTGTCCAACATTTGAAATTATCAGGATTATTGCCCCTTTTCACTAAAATTCATAGCCAGCTCTGATTTATCACAAAATGACTGATGCAACTCAACAAAAAAAAAAAAAAAAACAAAAAAAAAAAAAATTAAAAAATAAGAAAGTTAGATAAATGAAAAAAAAAAAAAAAAAAAAAAAAAAAAAAGAAAGTTAGATAAATGAATGATTTTCGGATGGGAAGAAATATTGAAATGTATTGACCTCGAAACATAACTAACCGTAAGAAAATTCTGGAATAAATCAATTGAATTAAACATAAAGAGTTATTTTAACTTTACATTACAGGAAAAGCATACTGTAATGCTTTATATAGACTACTGGAATATTCAAAACTTAGGCTAATGAATGCTAAACATTGATCGAGGAGTGAAGATTGATTTTATGGTTCAGATTGGAAGTAAAAGATGTCCTCATGCTAAGACTCCTATACTATATTTGGTCACTCAATTTCAATCTTAAAATTAAAAACAAAATTATACTATATAAGTCAAATAATTTTCTTATTGAAGTTTTACTTGACATAATATCAATTTGTGTTAAGTTTGTGACTGAGACTATTATAAGTAAAGTTATTGTTTATTCATTTGTTGTAACATCATATATATCTAACAAAGTTCCAGACATGGAATTTTTGTATTCTGAGATTGAACAATAAGTTCGAATTTTCTGCATATGGTCATATTAAGGTACCATAATTCTTCAGGGAAAAAAGAATGACTTGTAATTAAAAGAGTTTGTGTTTCACCAATGAATAAACGATGATGCCATATTCAACAGTCCGAAGATGTTCCCTTTACAAATATCTCATTCTGATGGATTTGCAAAATTGAGCCCAGCATATAAAATGTTTGTATGATTGAAGCTCATTAGATTAAGAAAGTGCATAGTACAGACTGTGGCTTAGTCAGTCACTCTATTTGCAGCTTGTTTATGGGTTTGGCTTCTTGATTTTTCAAGCCTTCCCTCAGTCAAATAAAAAAGAAGCTGATCTAGTAGGAATTTCTACACTGTTGCACATCTATATATGAAGTATTAGACAACTTCAGTTTTCTAGTATTTTGTTTTTTAGTGGTTAGGCAATTGTTGTGATTTTCTAGATAGTTTTTGCAAGTAATGGAGGAAGAACTATATGCGATTAACTACAACACTACTTGATAGACATGCTTTTACTAAAATTATTACGACTTAGAAAGCTCAAGCTTATCCCTTTATATCCTTTGAAACTATGCTTATAGGTTCTTTAGATAGGCTCTCTAACAAATTTTATTCTAATTAATTTGGTTTTGCCTTATAATATGATCCAACTGCATGAGTTAAATTTTTCCATTAGCACTCAAGTTCAAGCATATAATTTATGTACACCATTGAAAATACTAGGCTTCTTTTTATGTCTAGGATCATAATTTAATCAAACACATGCTTGTAAACTTTTTTTATGTACAGATGATTATTTATCATCACCTGAGTTGTTTTTTTCTTTTAACTT